CGTTGACACCGAGGACACGTTGGAAGCGGTTGTGCGGGGGCGTTGCGTACTGGGCGAAGTTGTGATTTGCGAGCTTCGCGTTTCGCTTTGGTGGCGGCGATGCGGTTGGCTTCGTGGTTAGCAGCGCCCGTCTTCACTGTTCTCCTCCATGTCGGACGATCGCGGGCGAGCTCTTCCCAGTTGGTCGGGTTGATTTGCAGTCGCTTCAGGTAGGACTTCAGGGTATCCTTGTAACGGCGAATTTGGCCGCCTTGACGACGAGAACCCATCGCGATGTCTCCGTAGAAGAGTCGTTTGGATAGTCGCTCGTCGGCCATGCGCACCAGGTGGCCGCTCCAGCGCAACTGCATTTCTCTCAACATGGAGTAGATGCTGAGGATTCCCGTTCGTTCCAGCACATCAGTGTCGGGGATTCGATCCTGCCAGTTCAGCATCAGGATGCGACGAAGACAACTGAGGTGGAAGTGGTTCAGTCGTCGTGCCTGCCTCGTGTACACCGTCCAGTTCTCTGCTCCGTACAGTAGCGTCGACAGGATGGCGGCCTTGTACATCTTCAGCTTCGTGATCAGTTGGAGACCATGACGATTACAAACTGTGCTTTGGAGGCGACCGAAGGCTTGACTGGCTTTCGAGATCCTGTTTGCGACTTCGTCATCAATTTTGGTCTTGCTAGAGAGGGTACTTCCCAGGTACGGGAAGTTCTCCACCACTTGCAGTTGGGTTCCGTTCACGCTGATTTGCGGCGTGTTGGGGGGTGTGGATGAGTTGGGTGGCGGTTGGTGCATCATCACCGTCTTCTGCGTGTTAATGACCAGGCCGAAGTTCTCTCAGTCGGCGGAGAACAGGTCCATGCTCCGTTGCATCCACTCTTCCAAAGTGGTGTTCAGGGCGCAGTCGTCGGCGAAGAGGAGTTCTTGAACGTTTGTTGAGGACACTCGCGATTGGAAGCGCATCCGTCGTTGATTCAGGAGGTGACCGTCCGTCCTGTAGGCGATGCGGATCCCGGGGCGTTCGTCGCGGTAGGCGTCCATCAACATGGCAGAGAACATAAGACTGAAGAGGGTAGGCGCCAGCACGCATCCCTGCTTCACTCCGTTGGTCACTGCGAATGCCTCTGAGACAGCTCCGTTGTCCGTGACTCGCGCCATCATACCGTCGTGCAGCTGACGCACCATCTGAGTGAATCGCTCCGGACAGCCGAATTTCTGCATGATCTTCCACAGTCCTTCACGATTCACCGTGTCGAAGGCTTTCGTCAGGTCCACGAAGGTAGAGTACAGGTGGGTCCGCATCTGCTGGCACTTCTCCTAAAGTTGGCGGGCGGCGAAGATCATATCCGTGGTCCCACGATGACAACGGAAGCCGCACTGGCTTTCCGGCAAAAGGCCCTCTTCCAGATGGTTATTGAGGCGGTTGAGCAGGATGCGAGCGAAGATCTTCCCGGCGATGTTCAATAGGGAGATGCCGCGGTGATTGTCGCAGTCTTGGCGATTCCCTTTGCGCTTGTATAGGTGCACGATAGTTGCGTCTTTGAAATCATGCGGGACTTCACCTTGAAGCCACATCTCTCGGAAGAGCGCAGTCAGGTGATCCATCAGTTGGGGACCTCCGTGCTTGTAGACCTCAGCAGGGATTGCGTCCGATCCGGGGGCTTTACCGCTGGAGAGCTGCTGCACGGCCCTGATGGTTTCCTGGAGAGATGGCGGGAGGTCGAGGTCCACGTTGGTCTCCACTTGCGGCAAGCGGGCGATGGCGGCGTCGGAGATGAAGGAAGAGCGGTTGAGGACGCCCTGGAAATGCTCGGCCCATCGCTGTAGGATTTGCGTCTTCTCAGTCAGGAGAGTGCTGCCGTCGGCGCTGAGGAGAGGAGCAGTGCCCTTCGTCGGCGGACCGCAGACAGCTTTGATCGCGGAGAAGAAGTTCTTCCATTCGTTCCGGTCCGCGTACCCTTGGATCTCCTCAGCTTTGCGAGCAGTCCAGGCGTCCTGCATCTCGCGCAGTCGTTGCTGAAGCTGTCGGCGACTGCGGTAGAAGGCAGCTTTGTTGTCCTCAGTGGGGCGATCTACGTAGGCTTTGTGTAGGCGGTTCTTCTCGGCAAGCAGATTGCTGATGGCAGCGTCGTTTTCGTCGAGCCATTCCTGGTGTTGGCGGGGAGCGCGACCGAGGACGGGGAGCGCCGTCGACTGGACCGTGTCTCGCAGTTGACACCAGCGGTTCTCCACGGAGGCGTTCTCGGCAGCGGCGGCGGCGGCGGCAGCGATAAGAAGGTTGTCTAGCCGTTGAGCTAGCTCATTGCTGAAATGGAGACGGTGAGCAGGCAAAGACAACAAAGCAACATTCAGCTTACCTGGGGGTCGCTTACCTTGTGGTATCCTGCGAGGCTGTAGGCGAATACGCATCTTCGAGATGACGAGGCGATGGTCGGTCCACCCGTCAGCACCCGCGACCGCCTTCGTCACAAGCACGTCCCGCTGGCCACGCCTCCGGAGGAGGACGTAGTCCAGCAGCTGCCACTGACGCGACCGAGGATGCCTCCAGGTGGCCTTCTCTCGCTCCGACAGACAGAAGAACGTGCTCGTCAGGATGAGGCGGTGTTCTGCGCAGGTGCGGAGCAGCAGCAGGCCGTTGTCGTTGGAGCCGCGGAGACCGTGAGGACACAGCACTACCCTCCAGGCAGTATGGTCTGTGCCGACGCGGGCGTTGAAGTCGACGAGGACAATCAACTTGTCCGCCTTCGACACAGTCGCCAAGAGGGCGTGCAGGTCCTCGTAGAACTTGTCTCTTGCGGCGGCGTCTGGGCTGCTCATCGGGGGAGCGTAGGCGCTGATGATTGTGGCGAATGTGCCCCCACCCCGGCGGAGAGGCAGACGGAGGCTCATCAGGCGATCGTTGATACCCTGCGGCAAACAGGGTAGTCGTCCCACGATGTCGTTCCGGATGGCGAAGGCGACGCCCGCGTCTCGTCGCTCTGTCCTTGGTCGACCACTCCAGAAGAAGGTGTAGCCGGCACCCACCTCCTCTATTTGGCCTTATTCGGAGAATCGGGTCTCGCTGAGTGCGGCGATGTCCACCTTGTAGCGCGCCAGTTCTCGTGCCACTAGCGCCGTCCTCCGTTCCGGTCGGTTGCTCCTCGGATTGTCTAAAAGGGAACGAACATTCCAGGCGGCCAGAGTGAGCGGGCTCACCCTGCCAGTCTGGCGACTGCAGCGACGAAAAGTAGGAGTAGGAGAAGAAGAAGAATAGGCTGGAAGAGGAAGAGAGTGATTGCTGTTGTTGTTTCGGTTTTGGCTGTTTCGACCGTGTGTTTTTTGTCTGCGGCCACGGCCAGCCTGCAGACAGCGTGGTTCCCAGCGATCTTTAGGTCGCCTGTTCTAGCCCCCTCCCCCTCGCGGGGGCAGGCAACTCATCCCTGACCAGGGCTGCCCGGTTATCCCAGACGGCTGCCGGACTCTACTATGGGCCACGACTATTTGTTAGTGAGAGAACGACCCGAATTAGCCTGGGACCTTGGTGGTGAGGTGATGATGTGATGGAGTGAAGTAGGAGAGAGCACACACACAACCTAACGCTATGGGACTTAGAACTAGAGTGGACAAGCGGACACGGTCACCAGTTAGAAACAAAGTGAGGGCACCACACAAAGTCAGGATCCGTAACACCTAGCTATTAGTAGAGAGTGGCATAGACTGACGGACAGACAATCGCAGCAGGCATCGAGGGAGTCGTTTAGCTATTAACAGACAGACTAGCATATAAAGGGCAGGCAGCAAGCGCAGCGTACGACGCGGAACTTCAACAAACAAAAGGAAGAAACAAAGCAAGCGCACTTACCTGAGGGGAAACTTACCTGGTGGCCGCCTACGATGGTCCTGGCAGAGCCTCGTCTCGACGATGTCGAGGCGAAGATCCATCCGGCCAGCGCAGACCACAGTACCGCGCGCGCAGGTGCACGCACGGATACCCTCACCTGGTTTAGCCCGCCGGTCGAGACGGTTGCCCGTGGACCCACCGCTGACACCCCTACACCCCACACACACACACACACACCCACACACACACACACACACACACACACACACACACACACACACACACACACACACACACACTACATTTCGTCCGTCGATTTCGACGATGACCACCGTGTGCCCCAAAGACTGCATTGTGGAAGCAGGGACGGTGACTAACGCAAGGGTTTATAGTGCCAGTAGACTAGCGTAGCATCTACCTACATTTTCTCCTCCTCCCCCGCCTGAGCCCGGTGTCAAGACAGAGTCAAGAAGACCGGAGACGAGGGAGGCCGCAGGTGGATGGCTCGGACGGGTCTTCGCCTTGGCGCTCCACTCCGCACCCCTGGTCCACACACCAAGACCAGGATTTTGACCACAAAACAATGGGGTGGAGGCAGTGGTCCAGTTGTGCGACGGCTGCCGACAACAGGGTCCGCCAGCGCACCCCGCAAGTGTTGGCATTTGTTATTGCGCAATGATAACGCCCGCCAGAGTCCGATATGGCCCCCGTGTTGGTCCAGCGCATCTAACACGCGGCCCGTTTTGAGGGCACCACACACACACACGCACACACACACACACACACGACAGTTCGTCCGTCGATTTCGACGATGACCACCGTGTGCCCCACAGACTGCATTGTGGGAGCAGGGACGGTGACTTACGCAGGGGTTTATAGTGCCAGTAGACTTGCGTAGCATCTACCTACACTCTCTCCTCCTCCCCCGCCTGAGCCCGGTGTCAAGACAGAGTCAAGAAGACCGGAGACGGGGAAGGTCGCAGGTGGATGGCTCGGACGGATCCTCACCTTGGCGTTCCACCACACCCCCTGGTCCACACACAAATAACCAGGATTTCAACCAGCAACAGAGATTTGGAGGCTGGCACGGCCGAAGCCGCACCTAGGCGTGCCGCCAACGCCCGGCTCGGATCCCACACTGTGGTAGGAATGCCATAAAGGCCACATTAAAATTGAGTCATTGCAGCCTGACTCTCAGACCACCTCCAGTTAAGGAGGCGGTCCAAGGTACCCCGTCAGTTGGCAACCTTCCAAGCCACGGCTTTTAGCGCACCGTGATAGCTTCAAGCGCATCAGATTGTTTATAGTGAGGAGAAAGTGCGCTGAGTCGTCGACCTCACTCTCCCTTCCCATTTCCACACCCCAGCCGCTGTGCGAGCCGGTCAGCAGACTGGAGTGGGAAATGGGCGCTGTGGCTGACACGGTCGACTGACCATGCCTGCGCGCGCCACAGCACGACCTGGCCCCCCATACACACAGACACCAGGATTTCACACAACGGGGGTTCAACGGCGGGTCTCTCACTTGCGTGAGGGTGCCGTGGAAGGTGCTGCTTCAGCCCGTCCCCAGCCCACCAGTCCGCCACTACACACAACACACACACAACGTGACGAACTGCGTGAACCGAGAGCGGGCCTCAATCAGCAACCTTCCCATCCACGACACTTGACGTGTCGGGATAGTCTCGGACACAAGTCAACCGTGCAGCCGTAACCGCATGGGGACCGAGTCGAGATGCACACTTCCCACTTGCGTGGGAGGCGGCAGTTGAGTGCATGAGGTGTGTGGGGTATGATGTCTGATGGGGTGATGGTGTTAGGAGGTAGGGAGTGAGGGAATGCGTGGTGTGACCGGCGGTTGTCTACCGCAGGTCGTCGTGGATGCGCATGTGGCCGAATAGACCCATGCGATGCGTGAAGGTGCGAGGGCAGTGTGGGCAGTGGAGGCGAGTGCGGTGGGTGTAGGTTGGTGCTCCAGGCACTGGTTCGCCAGTCTCATTCGCAAGTGACCGACCAGGCCGATGCGTGAGGTGAAGGTGCGATCGCAGTGAGGGCAGATGTAGTCCTGGCCTTCACGTCTGATGATGGAGGTTGCAGGGCTTGTGCCTGTTGTTGTGTCAGGTGCGGCTGTGTTGAAGTCGTGCACTACAGACGCCGGAGTGGCCGTCGTTGTGGCAGTGATGGAGGAAGAGGAGGAGGAAGGGGAGGAGTGAGGGGTGGTAAGGTCGGTGGCGTCGATGTCGGTTCGGGATTGGTTAGTGGGTGCACAAGCTGGTGGATTGGGAGTGGGGCTCGGCCGGATGGGTGTGTCAAGGCTGCGGTCAATTCCGCTCTCGTGGATGCGCATGTAGTGGAATAGACCCATGCGATGAGTGAAGGTGCGAGGGCATTGTGGGCAGTGGAGACGAGTGCGGTGAGTGTAGATTGATGCTTCAGGCACTGGTTCGCCAGTCTCTGTGCGATGGATTCGCAAGTGACCGACCAGGCCGATTTGCGAGGTGAATGTGCGGTCGCAGTGAGGGCAGGTGTAGTCCTGATCCTCATCGCTGGAGTCGGGGGAGGTGATAGTGATGGTGTCGGTTGTTGCGCGCGGACAGTCGCCTGAGCGGCCGTTGTGGGAGCAGTGGAGGAGGAGGTGGATGAGGGGGAGGAGGAGGAATGAGGTGAGATTGGCGGTCCAGAAGAAGTGACAGCGGTAGTTTGTGGCGCAGAGGATGATGAAGAGGCGGGCGGGGGGACGATGGTTGAGGCAGTCCGAGAGGTGCAGTTGATCCGTAGAAGTCCAACAAGTCCGATTCGAGCCCGGAATGTCCGTTGACATCGAGGACACGTTGGAAGCGGTTGTGCGGCGGCGGTGCGTACTGGACAAAGTTGTGATTTGCGGGCTTCGCGCTTCGCCTTGGCGGCAGCGATGCGATTGGCTTCGTAGATCGCAGCGCCTGTCTTCACTGTCCTCCTCCATGTTGGTCGATCGAGTTCGAGCTCCTCCCAGTTGGTCGGGTTGATTTGCAGACGCTTCAGGGATGACTTCAGGGTGTCCTTGTAACGGCGAATTTGGCCTCCTTGACGACGAGAACCCGTCGCGACGTCTCCGTAGAAGAGTCGTTTGGGTAGTCGCGCGTCGTCCATGCGCACCAGGTGGCCGCTCCAGCGCAGCTGCATTTGTCTCAGTATGGTGTAGATGCTGAGGATTCCCGTGCGCTCCAGTACTTCAGTGTCGGGAATTCGGTCCTGCCAGTTCAGCCTCAGGATCCGACGAAGACAACTGAGGTGGAAGTGGTTCAGACGGCGTGCCTGCTTTGTGTACATCGTCCAGGTCTCCGCTCCATACATTAGCGTCGGCAGTATGACGATCTTGTACATCTTCAGCTTCGTGCTCAGTTGATGACTATGACGATTACAAACTGTGCTTTGGAGGCGACCGTAATCTGGACTAGCTTACGGAATCCTGCGGGGCACTTTGTCATCGATTTTGGTGTTACAGAATAGGGTACTATACAGGTACGGGAAGTTCTCCACCACTTGCAGTTGGTTTCCGTTCACGCTGATTTGCGGCGGCGCGTTGGGGGCTGTGGCTGAGTTGGGTGGCGGTTGGTGCATCACCACCGTCGTCTGTGTGTTAATGACCAGACCGAAGATCGCGCAGGCGGCGGAGAACTGGTCCGTGCTGCGTTGCATTGCCTCTTCCGAGGTGGTGTTCAGGGCGCAGTCGTCGGCGAAGAGGAGTTCGTGGACGGTGGTTGCGGATAAGCGCGAATGGAAATGCATCCGCCGTTGATTCAGCAGGTGACCGTCCGTCCTGTAGGCGATGCGGATCCCAGGGTGTTCATCACGGTAGGTGTCCATCAGCATGGCAGAGAACATAAGACTGAAGAGGGTAGGCGCCAGCACGCATCCCTGCTTCACTCCGTTGGTCTCTGCGAATGCCTCTGAGACAGCTGCGTTGTCCGTGACTCGCGCCATCATACCGTCGTGCAGCTGACGCACCATCTGGGTGTTGGTCTTCACTTGGGGCGGGCGGGCGATGGCGTTGTCGGCCCATCGCTGCAGAATTTGTGTCTTCTCGGTGTCTTCTTGGTGGGCGGACAGCAGATAGCAGAGAAGTTGTTCTTCCAATCGATATGGTCCGCGTACCCTTGAAACTCCATAGCCTTGCGGGCCGTCCGTGCGTTCTGCATCTCGCGCAGACGCTGTTGCACAAGGCGGCGGCAACGGTAGAATGCTGCTTTGTCGTCGTCTTCGTCGGTGGGGTGGTCTATGCAGGCTTTTTGCAGGTGGTCCTTCTCGGAGAGCAGGTTGTAAGTGGCGGGGTGCGCGACCGAGGACGGCCAGCGTCTGCGACTGGATTGTGTCCCAGCAGTTCTCCACGGAGCCGTTCTCGTCTGCGGCGGCGGCGGCGAGCGTTAGATTGTCTAGTCGCTGAGCTAGCTCGTTGCTGAAATGGAGATGGGGAGCAAGCAAAGACAACAGGACAATATTCAGCTTACCTGGAGGTCGTTTACCTTGACATATCCTGCCAGGTCCCATTGTCTGCGTCTAGCGCCTTCATGCCACCGTGGAGCCGACGCATCATCTGATCTAATCCTTCTCGTTCTCACACTGTCACATACGCCACCGTCATCTTTCCTTCCCAAGATCAAACCAAAAGCCTGTGTTTTAACGATCTCCATGGCCTTGCGGGACAACCGTGCGTTCTGCATCTCGCGCAGCCGCTGTTGCACAAGGCGGCGGCAACGGTAGAATGCTGCCTTATTGTCGTCGTCGGTGGGGTGGTCTATGCAGGCTTTTTGCAGGTGGTCCTTCTCGGAGAGCAGGTTGTAGGTGGCGGGATGCGCGACCGAGGACGGCCAGCGCCTTCGACTGGATTGTGTCCCAACAGTTCTCCACGGATGCTTTCTCCTCAATGGCGGCAGCGGCGGCTGAATTGGCGACTGGTAAGTTGTCTAGCCGTTGAGCTCGCTCATTGCTGAAATGGAGTTGGTGCTCGGGTAAAGACAACAGGGCAATATTCCGCTTACCTGGGGGTCGTTTACCATGACATCTCCTGTCAGGTCCCATTGTCTGCGTCTCGCGCCTTCATGCTACCGTGGAGATGACGCATCATCTGATCTGATCCCTCTCGTTCTCACACTGTCACTTACGCCACCATCATCTATCCCCCCCAAGCTCAAACCATAAGCCTGTATTCTATAGAACTTTGTGCAGTTGTCAAGCAGTGCGATTTTGCCCGGTGTTTGCCCAACTCTGATCGACAACACGCTCTACAGCAAACTATGCTTTACTTGCAGCAGCTGAAATACAGCGATTCCAAATCAACACCTGGATCACCTGCGGCTATATAGAGCTTAGGCGAAGAGCTAGCGTAATTCAGGGCGGAAGTCGCTGTGAGACCGATGAGGAGATCGATTGGAGAGTGCGTCATCCTCTTTTTTTTACGGGAATCGAAGCCCCACCCTGCTAACACACAACACCAGCACGCTTGCAATCCGCACACACGAAACACCACCCAGCCAGCTCCCTCCCTCCGCATCGGATCAGTATATTTTAGTACAAATTGGTGCACCTAGAGTGGCGTGATCTGCTCGCGTCAGTCGCTTGGCTTGTGAACAATGATGACAGCAGCCCTAATGCAATGAGTGCAACATTCGTAGGACGTGACACAGGGCTGCAGGTTTGCAGCCAGCTCGTGGGAAATTTACCTGACATATAAATTTTGTGCCATAGCTGAAGGTAAAACCACTGTATAGCCTAAAGTTGCCTATCCGTCAGAACCGAGAGCCCCTTCAGCTTACAGAATATATCTCCTAAAATCGCACTCATCCACCTTGATCGAATGGTATAACCTCGGTGCAACGGTGAAATTCGGACCCACGACTGCAAGGGTTCAGCTATGTCAATTAATTCATATCTCCTTATGTTGATTCGCAAGGCGAGCCTATTGCAGCTTGGCGGACTATTGTCGATATTGCCGTATTAAACTCAGGTACACAGACGAGTCATTTTGATACGCATATGAAATACTTGGCAGCCCGGTGGGGAATGAACACACTGCAGCAAGAGGTAGCCTTAGTACAGCCAACGCTTTAGTCACCTATGCTAACAGGCTCCATCTGACGACGCTACAATAATGGTATCTACCATAATACCTATGAACTACATGAGACTCTTGGCCAACTGGTGGATTCTAGATGCATGAATTAAAAAATCCTGCTTGGAAATTCAGCTTACTGTATCAGATTTGGTGGATTCCAGACCTTGCAGTAGATCGAACGGGTAAACTTGATTTAGATATGATTCAACTCGCGTCGTCCGGTGGGGCCTCGTATCTTAGGTGGCTAGACCGTTGGCCGTACTGAAGCCACTCTTGGCCGTCGTGGGTTTGAATTCCACCAGTTAGGCACATGAGCAACTTCGGAGACTGAACCCAGTTATTTTTCAGAAGCAAAGTACTCTGAACAGTGTCATTGTGATGTGAGGAGATTCACTCGATCGCTGGAGCGAAAATAATATTCACTTGATTTTCGCGATACCTTTTTGATCAAGAACAGCAACAGATGGAAGTTTTGGACGAACAGGGTGCGGCATTTTTATAAGCTGCATTTCCTATGCTATCATGCGCATGTATATAATCATAACGTCCGCATTCACTGGGAAGAGCTCGCCCGCGATCGACCGACCTGGAGGAGGACAGTGAAGACGGGCGCTGCGATCAACGAATACATCCGCATCGACGCCGCCAAAGCGAAACGCGAAGCCCGCAAATCACAACTTCGCCCAGTACGCAACGCCGACGCGCAACCGCTACCAACGTGTCCTCGATGTCAACGGACCTTCCGGGCACGAATTGGACGTGTTGGACACATACGGATCAACTGCGCCTCTCGGACCGCACCATACGTCGTCCGTACGCGCGCCTCTTCCTCGTCGTCTACGCCGCCAAATAACTCTGACTACTCTTCTGAACCACCAATTCCATCATCCTCCTCCTCCTCCTCCTCTACTGCTGCTACCTCCGACTCCAGAGTTGAGGACCGGGACTACACCTGCCCTCACCTCCACCTCACACATCGGCCTGGTCGGTCGCTTGCAAATCCATCGCACAGAGACTGGCGAACCAGTGCCTGGAGCACCAACCTACACCCACCGCACTCGCCTCCGCTGCCCACACTGCCCTCGCACCTTCAAGCATCGGATGGGTCTATTCGGCCACATGTGCACCCACGAGAGCGGAAGTGACCACAATTCCGACACACCCACCACATCCAACACATCCACCATGCCCAGCCCCATCCTCTCTCCATCGCCCGCGCCCGTCACCACCACCGCCTCCTCTGCAGCTGACACCGACACCGTTGACCTCTTGCCCACACTCTGCACTCATCTGCACCCACCAAACTCGACTCAACTGCCAACACTGCCCTCGCACTTCCACGCACCTTATGGGCCTATTCGGTCACATGCTCATCCACGACATCGGAATTGGCCGCCATCCCGTCTCACCCGACACGCCAAACCCCACACTCACTTCATCGCCCTGTGCTCCCACCAACCCCTCGGCAACTGACACCGACGCCAGCGACTTCACCCCCCACACTGTCCACGCACATTCACCTCTCGCATCGGCCTGGTCGGTCACTTGCGAATCCATCGCACAGAAACTGGCGAACCGGTGCCTGAAGCACCTACATATACACGCCGCATCCGACTCCAATGACCGCACTGCCCTCGCACAATCATGCATCTCATGGGCCTATTCGGCACCATGTGTATCCACGATAACCTGCGGTAGGCAACCGCCGGCGGTTCCACACCACCACCTCACCGCTCATCAACATCACCGACCGCAACCATCCAAATGCAACATCCCACGCTTGCGTAAATTGTGCGAATCGACTCGGTCTCCATGTGGCTCCTTTTGCATGGGCGAAGCGAGCCTGAAACTGCAAAGGCAAGTCAAGCCCCTTGGCTTGGAATGTTGCTGACTGAAGCCAAAATCAGTCCAGGTGGAGTGGCGGACAAATAGGCTGTAAGCCTGTTATGACCCGCCTGGTACTTGAAATCCCGTGGAGCGTCTACGCACTCGACCCTGGTCCCCAATATCAAGGCAGCAGACAAAGAACACACGGCTGGCCACGGAACGTGTATTAGCAAACACGTATAAGCAAGTCACGTCTAGCTAAGGGTGACGCATATTTATCACACGCTAGCGTGGTTCGCCGGCACTCGGTCCAATGACCTTCGGGAAGAGGGGAGTAGCCAATAGGAAAGCGCCTAATTGAGATGACAGCGCGGTAGAGAGAGAGCAAACGCACGTGATCTCCATTGATTAGTTTGCTCTTGTTTTTGGGAGTGTAGGCACTCCCAACACCTCCCCTCCAAGTGGGTCAGTACCGCTTTTGGCGTGGATTGATCTGCATCGGCACTGTTGATCGGCGCACGCGGTTGGTTCGGCGTCTTAGTTGTGGTTTGTTGTCTGGAGACCCGGGGGCAGTGACTGATATCGAAGGCGGTACATCCGAAGGAGGCGCAGCAGTGGGTTCAGGAACCGACCGATCTGCCGGAATGGCGAAGGTATCCAGTAGGATGTCAAGGGGGAGTGACGGCGCCGTATCGAGCCCAGTTGTGTTACTGCAATGTCGCCGTCGGATCTGGTTGTGGTGGCGAACCCAGATGTCATCACCAACGTCGACGTCAAACAGCATACTGCCTCTGCGCGCTACCACGGTTGCTTCAATCCAGTCTGGGAACCCCGCTCGATAATCACGGACGAAGACAGGTGTTCCGATGGAGAGCATGCTGCGAGAGACTGGAGAAGTCTGCGCGGGCTGCGCACCGGTAGGGACGAGTGCATGAAATGTTGTCCGCAGTTTTCG